ATATATATATATATATATATATATATATATATATATATATATATATATACATATACATGGTGTGAGCTGCAATCTCTGCCATGGGTACGGGAGGACTAGAGATTGTAAAAGGTATTGTAAATCAAGTTGGCTATCGTGACATCATTGATAGACGTCTTCTGCAACAACTTCGTGAGTGGTTCCCAGTTAAGGACTGCATTTGCAGGCATGATGGGCCTCCCTGCCACACAGCCATTTGGATACTCATGGCGTTAGAGTGCTTGGCTGGCCTGGAAATGAATTTGGCCAAGGGTGGCTATTCTGGTTACTAATATCATGTCTTTAATAATGTACACAAATAAAATTGCTTTCAATTTGGGATAAAAGTATATACTATTGTGGTGACCAGCTCGCAGCAAGCTTCGGCACACCGTAGGACCTGACGCATTCCGTTTGTTCCAGTCATCATCACCAATCACCGCTTACTTCTCCGGACCTGACCGGAGAGTAAACATCGTGCCTGGCCCATTTAAGCCACGATATTCCAAAACAGCTCACAGCCCCACGCTCACCTAGTCAATGCCAAAATAATCACTGTAATAACAAACAGGAAAATCAAAGTGTCACTGAGCCACCCTGGTTTGCCGGGGCCTCAATCGCGCCGCGACCCCTTATGCTATTACGAACTCTTATTAACTTAAATGTCCAATAAACTAGCTCTGTCTTTAGAGATTATTTACTTAGCTATTGCCCTCAGCGGTTTTCCTTTTTTGACTACTAACGGTGACAAGGGAATACTTCACCTCTCCTCGGACCTGCAGCACTCTCTATCACAGGGAAACCTGTATAGGGAGGCCCAGCAGTCTGAGGTGACCTTTAGGTGTGCTCTCTCTCCTCTTAAACTTTCCTTTCTTGTGGCCATCTGGACCTACATAAATCCCTCTGGGATTTTTGTATTCGTCTGGGTGGTGCTTTCTCAACTACTATCCCTTTATAGCAAGGTTTGGCAGCAAGGGAGCAGACCAACACAAAAACTCCAATCCTCTAGTGTGCTGGAGAACGCAACCAGGCTGTCACTAGAGGGGGTCGAGCTCAGGACCCTGTCATCTCTTCAATCACCCTCATCCCCTCATCTCACCTCACCTCATTAATGAAAAATGATAAAAGTTAAGATCACTTCCTAAGGCAGCCCCGGCCCTAACCGGCGGGACACCCTCGCCAAGGCTCTCTTCGAGGCCAATGTAAGAGTACTTCGGTACTACTAAATCCATGATGGATATCTCGCTCTAGTTGAAGACGACGACCATGCCCAAAGACTCTTCTCATCCTCGACAGTCGACTTGCTTAAAAACCTGGGGTTCACTCCTGTGCTCCCCCTTGACATGAAGGCCAAGCTCACGCTGGTCAACAAAAACCTTGATAGACACGTGGTTAATGAACCTGAGTCAGCCATTGCCGATGAAATCATGGCAGCTGCTCCCGACTCACATGTCGAGAACGTGTACATCACAAGACCTCCTATTTCCTTAAGGTCCGCTTTTCAGAGCACCAGGCCGCCAAGAATACTAAAGAAAAGTGTGTATACCTATTTAACCTCTCTGTTGCTCCTTGGCAGATTGAGTTCGAGTGCTTCACGCCACTCAGACAATGTATGAATTGCTATGGCTATGGCCACCTCAAGAGCCAATGCAAGTAGTCAAAAAGTGCCTGGTGCTTTGAATGCGGCTCCCATATACACTCATATAGGGACTGCAAGAGCAACATCAAAAAATGCCTCAATTGCGGATTGCGCATTTTTCCCAACAGTTGCCCCATGCGGAAGGAGGCCATGAAAACGTCCCTAAAGAAGGAAAAGGAAAAGGAGAAAGAAAAAGAAGCTAGGCCTCTTAAGGTAGTGGCGCAAAAAGCTGGGCAAGAAACAGTCCAAGCTACCACCAACGCTTGGAAACCCCTGATTCACCACGTCCGCCAGGACATTAAAATAAACGCCAGCAAGTCTGAACCCACCAGCCCTTCCAAATGATCTCTCCAAAGAGATCATGATCGTCCTTCTGCACGCACACCTGCAGAACCTCATTGCCCCTGAGAAGGGCTTCAGGCACCATGCCAAAGAGGCTCTAGCAAAGAACAACCTTCCTGAACTTGATCTGGGGGAGGCCAACTCCTGGGGCATCTTAAGTGTCATTAAGCCCCCTGCCAAATCTCCTGCCACTGCCCCCATCGCCGCCGGGGAGGCATCACATGATGTCGCCCAAGAGAAGCAACTTTTGAAGATTCCCCCAGATCTCCCATCCACCCCTGTGACAGTTCCCAAACCTGACACTTCAGTCAGACCAGAGGAAACCATCACCAGACCCCCCCCAGGGAGGCCCGCCGCACCTCCCCTGACCCACCGCCACCATTCCCTGTCAGAAAGAAGTACAAAAGCTGTCACAGAGATGAAGAAGGTTGGGACCGCCTCAAGGACGGCACTGTAGTAGACCCCAGTTTTTACGGCATAAAAAATACACATACTCGGGAAGAGAAGAAATCAGGCAAGAGATTAATAAGAACCGAATCAAGTGGCTCATGACCAAAGCAGAGCATCATTACTTGGTTTTAGCTCAAAAAATGCATGCACACCTCCTTGAAGGCAACATACTCATAGACAACACCATGATCGAACAATACGACAACATTCGCAAAATACCCAAAGGACACCTCATAGAAGACTCCACATAAAGAAACAACACAACATGGCACTTACCACACTACACTCACGCCTCACCATCATACAACACGTCTTACACTGGAAAACACGAAAACACGAACTCTATAACACCTACTGAAAACACGACCCACGTATCATCCTCCTAAACAGCCATGGGCTCAATAACGCAAATCCACTAAAGATCTACACATACACAGTCTATTCTTCAAAGAAATCACAAGAACAAAGCGATGGCGTATCTATAGCAATCAAAAACGACATCCAACACAAAATCATCATTCAGATCTCTTGGCAGTCGAAATAAACACACCACAAGGACCCATCATACTGGCAACACTATACCTTCCCCTACGTAGACCATACATACCAGAACCTGACATTCTGCAGCTCCTGAGACATAACAAAGCAATATACATTATGGGAGACCTTAACGCAAAGCACCCACTATTTGACTACAACCACACTAACAACATAGGCAGAGGCCTGGCCTCATACATACAACAAGGCAGACTGACACACCTCGGTCCTCACACACCAACATACACACAACACGGCAACAACACCTGACATAGTCCTTGCAAACCACAGAGCATACCTACACCACCACATAACAACAGACGATATCATATCCAGCGACCACCTCCCGGTTATCATAACACTGTTAAACATGCAAACTGGGAGGGCTTCAAACAAGCACTTGAAAACACACAAGTAATTGATCTCAAAGGGCAGGCCAACATCCCCACAACAACATACAAAACAATCCCTCACTACAGAGAATCACATCGTCTGAAATTGCTTAAAATACAATACAGGCACTTACACAACCTCTCAATAACACGGGGCTGGAACGCACAACTACGCACACAATACAGAGAACTCCAAACGCAAATAACACACGAAATTAAAGTAATGAATAAACAACACTGGGAAACACTAGCACAGAGACTATGTCAAAACACTAAAGACCCCCCAAATGCTCATGGGGTCGAACCAACAAACCACCACATACCTATACAACGCACACAGACAGAAGGTTGACTCGGTGAGGGAGATGGAGCTTCTCCACAGGGAATTCTGGAAACAGAATTTCCAAATCTCCCCCACCGAGAACGCCCGATTCGACCACACCACAGAGACCGAGGTAACACATCACCTACATCAACATAGAAACACAGTTCTACCAGAAAACATCATTAGACTAAACAATCTCACAGAGGACAGTCCCCTCTCCACACCCATCACACCAAAAGAAATAATAAACACAATCAAACACAACACCAGGAGCAAGCAACATAAACAAAACAATCATAGAACACGTACCACCCATAGTGATATGCAGGTTATGCCATCTCTTCAATGCGGCATTGGCTACAGGATATTTCCCCGACAAATTTAAACACGCCACCATCACCCTCATTCCGAAGTCAGGGAAGTCAGCACATGAAGTGGAGAACTACCGCACCATCTCATTCTGGAAGTTCCCGGGAAACTGTTAGAGAGGCTAATAACACGCGGAATTATCACACCTGGAAAACAACAAACACAACAGTAGGCAATATGGCTTTCGCCCACACAGGGGACCGAGAGCGCTATCGCCATCGCTTATGAGGAGATTGCTCTCGGTCTCGCTAACAAGCACCAGATTAACATTAGCAAGGCCTTTGATAAGGTCTGGCATGACGGCCTCAAATACAAAATAACACAACTACAACTCCCTACACATCTCACACGCCTCCTCTGCAGCTTCCTGGACCATAGGACTGCCACAATACGCCTGCGCTCACACCTGGGCGCCTGTGGAGTACCACAGGGAAGTGTTCTTTCACCAACCTTGTATGTCCTGTATACAGCCAATCTGCCACGGCCTACACCCTGCAGCAACTAGATTTCCTACGCAGATATCACACAGATAATATCACACCCCTCTAAATCACAACACATGAAACGAACAACAGAAAGAGCTATACAGAACATTAACACATTTGAGCACCATTGGAAAATACAAACAAACATCAACAAATTCATACTCATGCACATCGTACGCAGAACCGCACAACCCATCACAACCAACATCAACATCCTATACACAAACAGAGGAAACATGCTTGGCTGTCACTTCACAACCACAGGATTCATAACACACGTCACACAACGAATCACACAAGCACGCACAACACTCACCAAACTCAGACGCTTCTCATGCTGCACACCATAAACCAAACTCAGACTCTACAAAACAACTGTAAGACCTATTCTCGAATACACACCTGTCCCACTAGTTGCAATATTTAAATCACAAAAACTCAAAATGCAAACAGTACAGAACAAAGCAATATTCTGGGTACACGGCGCAACAATTCTAGACTTAATTTCCTCAGAAACACTACACAGGACATACAGCATAGAACCACTTAAAACCCGCATACACAGACGAGCTAAAAACACCTGGGCCGACTACGCGAACAAGAAGACGATCACTACAATAACATCATAGACAAATACACAAACACGCACAAACCACACTTGGTGGCCCAGAACATTAACACTCACACAAAACATAACTCCTCCCCCTATAGCATAAACACCTGAGCTATAACCATCCAACCATATTTCCATGTTTAAGGCTATAAAAAAATAAAACATATAAAAATAATTAAAACCAGAAGTCACCCTCAGAATCCCCAAAGGATTAGCTAATCCGCGGAGCACAATACTTAATATAACAAAAATTAAGTGAGCAACCATCGGTTCTACCAGCTCCAGTGCGTGCGGCGCGGAATAGCCAATCACGGGGGAGAGAGGGCTGGCAACCTTGGCGTCTCTCGAAGATACAAATTCGACAGCACTGTTACCACAATGATGTCCTGTAGGTGGAAGGACATCCCCTCTGGTCTCTCCCCAGGGGTTTACAACTACACACGTTCCTGCAGTGCCTCTATCACTAGCTGCTGCTAGACAGAACACCGCCCTCCCGTCCCGCCACTAGAACCACCTTGAAAGGTAGCTTCTCTCCCTCACTGTGGGAAAGCAGCCTTTGGGTGGCCGCTTTCTGAGGGCTGAATAAGCTTCCCTGAAAAGGTGCAGGACTCCTCCCTCACTGTGGTGAAAGAGCCTTTGGATGGCTCTTTCAGAGGGAATCACTTTGAAAAGGCACAGGGCCTCTCCTCCCTCGCTGTGGTGAAACAACCTTTGGATGATTGTTTCAGAAGGAAAACAGAATCCTCCTGGAAAAAGTGAAAGAGCTCCATCCCTCACTGAGGTGAAGCACCCTTTGGGTGGTTGCTTCAGAGGGACGAGCACTAGGGGTCCAAGCAATGATGTCCTGTAGGGGAAAGGGCATCCCCTTTGGTCTCTCCCCAGGGGTTTACACCTACCCACGCATTTGCCGTGCGTGGCAGTCTTGTGCACTGTGGAGACAAGAGTCCTGGAGATTGAGCGATGCCGTGAATGAGTACGCCCTGTGGCTAGCAACATGCCTCTTTGGTCCTCTATTCCAGCAAGACAGGCGGCCTGATTCCGGCCCGGTCACGGTCAATCGGCTGGTCTCCCACAGGAGGCTAGGGTCAAGCAGTCATGCCTCCATTGGCACTCACAATGGTCCGTGAGTGCCGCCACAATGGTTATTGGCTGCGTATATCCTCTCATCACCCCTGTGGCTGTCAGACACTGGCTCTGACACACAGCTTCCCCTTGTTGGACTCCGTGGTGGGTAGGGGCGTATGAGAGGATGAAGCACAGTCCACTACATGGAAAATTTAAAACAAAACCCCCCACTGACAGACCATAAAGGTGACTCTTGCAAGGCCCAGACCACGGCAGACACCATGGAATCATATCTGGTTCTAGGTGGCAATAGAAAACCCAATGTCCATCAGATTGTTATGCAGATGGACTCTCGTGCTGGTCTTACCAGACTAGCAACCAAGCCAGGGAGGCCCCTGAGTCCCCCTCAGACGGCCTCCCCGACTGGGACGGGAGCACAGGCTGGACCAGCCGAACCAGCAGCTGCTGCCCCCACAAACAAGCCCCCAAGCTGAAAGGGCGCGCCAATGCGACCAAGCCGGAGACAGACTCTAATGGAGAGTCTGGACCCACCAACAGTTGCTTCCCCCAGTTCAAGGTCCCAGCCAAACCAGTTGGTTAGAGCATTGGAGATGCAATCCGGGTTGCCAGAGACCAAGACATGATCATAATGCCGAATGATCATGCCACCCTGAACTTCCTTCGTGAAACCAAGGAGTTAAAAGATGGGAGAAAAGTGAGTGTTTCCCCATTAACTCCCAAGGAGAAGAGAACCAAGATGGTGCTACTTGGCTTCTCAGTCACGTATGATGTGGAGCTAATCACTTCACATCCTCCTTCCTTCCTCCTAGGAGGAAGGAAGCCGCCCCACAGCCGACACTGGACGTCTCTAAAGGTACGGTTAGACTGACCAACTATTTCGGTGGAATCCAACGATTATCAGCGACTTGGAACCCACCCGCCCATCTGTTTTGGTTATACTACGAAAAGAACCACCAGCTCAGTCCACTGGATCGCAGCATCAAAACAAATCGTGTCTGCAGTCCCTCATCAGTAGTTGCGATGGATCCCGCGCTTGTCTCCCTTACTCTTACGACACTTGCTTGCTTCCAAAAGTACAGAGAATATAAAAAGACCAAGAAAAGTAGAAAGAGACTATGGATGAAACCATGGCTACAGAAAAAAGACCGAAGTGTGTATCACAAGTTAATTGAAGAAACGCGAGTGGCTGATGGCAGTGTGTTTTATGATTTCCATAGAATGAACAGGCAAAATTTTGATGTTTTGTTAAATTTGGTGGCACCCCTCATCCAGAAAGAAACCACACAGTTAAGGGACACTATATCTGCACCAGAACGACTCTCTCTGACTTTGCGTTATTTAGCCACAGGTAAGGACAAATTTCATGTTTTCAGCATATTTAGACCTTTATTTAAAATACTTTTTAGCATTTTTTAATAATTTAATTGAATATTTATTTACAAAACCTAAGGCTAAAGAAGTTGCCATGAAAGAAAATGCTATATCCTTGTTCAAGTATTGAACATATTAATTAAGTATACAATTTCTTTAATACAGGTGAAACCCGTCGCTCTCTAGGATTCCAATATAGGATAAGCCATAGTTTGATCACCTACATAATACCAGAAGTTTGCAGTGCAATATATTCCGTCTTAAAGGATATGTATCTGAAACTTCCATCAACATCAGAGGAATGGAAGCAAGTGGCAAGCGACTTTTATAGCAGCTGGAATTTTCCAATGTGTATTGGAGCTATGGATGGAAAACGCTTTCTTATGAGGAAACCAGAAAATACAGGATCAGAGTATTGTGATTACAAGAGTCGCCATAGTATGATCATGTTAGCTCTTGTTGATGCACATTATAAATTCATGTATGTTGATGTAGGAGCTCAGGGACGCTCAAGTGATGCAGGTGTTTGGGACCGTTGTAAATTAAGAGAATACCTAGAAAAAGAAAAGCTACAAGTTCCACCACCTGATACTTTGCCATTTTCAGATCAGAAAGTTCCATACGTAATTGTTGGAGATGATGCATTCCCCCTCAAAAATTATCTGATGAACCTTATCCTGGCCAGAACTTAAGTGTTGAACAAAGGATATACAATTACAGACTATCAAGAGCTCGTCGTATTTCTGAAAATGCCTTTGGTATCCTTGTTGCCAAATTTAGAGTGTTTGAAAAACCTATTCACTCAAGTCCGGCAAACACTAGGAAAATCATATTTGCAACAGTTGTTGTAAGTGTAGCAGCCCAGTTAAGAAAGTAAAGATGAATAAAAATGTTTTAAAAGACTATGTGCCAAAGTCGCATACATAGACGGGTATTGGAACTCGGTTGTTTACTTCAACGGCAGCTGTGGTCGCCTAAACAGCACCAGGCCCTATTGTAGGGGTTTGGAGGTAAATTACATTCTTTGTACTAGTTTATCCATCAAATTATTATGATTTTATGTTGTTTAAGTTTGTTAGCATTCAATAATGTGCTTTAATTGTGTTAATTGTGTGAACTATTACGAATTTAATAGTATATGACCACGTGGCCTTTTTTTTTTTCTATGGCTTGACACTCTGTTTTTTGCTGCAATAAGCTCCATCACTTTTACTGTAAAGTCCATTTTCACCTCTTCATAACTGCTGAAGAACTTCATGGCAGCCATCACAGACTCAGTAACCATGTCATGGCGTGTATTTTTCATGGCCTGCTCTGCACAAACTGCCTGCAAGTTGTCAATGGTCTCCAACATTCCTTCTTCCACTGCATCACCCTTGTTCATTTTCCTCTTCTTTTTTACCAGTTGTGATTTTTTTGTATAACTGGTATTGGGCTGATCAGGTATTTCTCTGATGATCTCTTCATTAATATCAGGCAGAGGGGAAGGTGTTGGATTTGACGGTATTGAAGTTGGTGATACCGATATATCATAATCCTCAAGATCCTCTATAGGTCCCTCATACAACACCTCTTGCTTCTGTTGTGGTTCCTGAAAGTTAAGCAAAACACTTTCAATTTTTGTATTTAAAACTCAGAATGATTTTAGTTAATGAACCTTGAATAAAATTTTGTAATATTTACACATAATTTCTTAGCCATACTGTTATGTTTCAATAAGTGTTGTATTTCTTAGAATATAATTATAGTTATAAACACATTTAGCCAAGCTTACCAAGTCATCAGGGTGTATGAAACTGGATTCTGTAGGGCCCAAATCATATGCAGATTGCATGAATGAGCATGTCTCGTAATGCTCCCACTTAATAGGAGTTGTTGCCGCGGAACCACTTGGAGCATTCCTGATTTTCCGTAAACATTTCTGATATTGGCCACGAAGGTACTTGAATTTGTCCATTACTTCAACTGCAAATAATAGAGAAAATAGGGAGATTAAAACTTGCAGAGGAATATTCATGCGTAAATAATAACATAACATCATAAATAATATAAATCATGATTTTTTGAATTTAATATTATTCCTATACATCTGTTTTACAAAGGCAAAGGGACACATTGGAGTTTTTTTATTTGTTGTTTATACATGATTCTGGTTATCATGCTCCACATTTTAAACTAAATATCTATTTTGGATTTTGAAATTTTATTAATTGATAATTAAAATATTACCAAACAATCTTGTGAGTGTATTGTTAGATTACAAGTTGCAACAACTGGGCTAGCCCTTCAGGCATTGCACATTTTTCAATGTAGTCATGGCTATTTGAATATTATAAAATTAGTCAGAATACCAGTGAGCTTATTCTCTGGAAAGCAGTTTGCACTTGTAATTTGTAATTTGTAAAATTATAATAAGCAACTTATAAGAGTAAAGGACAAGATCTTTTTCATTAATTACTTAAAAAAAAACTAATCTAAAAACAAATACAAATTGTTAATCTCTGATCATATTTTACCTAGCATTTTCTACAAACTCCAAGAGCAATTAACAAATACTTTGCATGAATAATAGCATAATTCCGTGCATATAATTTAAATTTCATTATACTAAATATAAAAAAAATTGATACACCAAATAATGTTTTTCTTACCTGTTGTAATTTCAAGTTGAGGATACTCTGTTTTCAGCTCTACACATATCTTGTCAAACAGAGTTCGTTTCAGCGTTTTCTTGCGGTAATATGGATGTTTTATATTCCAAAGAACATTTTCTTGGCGTACTTTCTCTAAAAGAGAGGTAATTGCTTCCGAATTCCACATTCTTACTGAAATATGACGAGATGACGTTCTTCCTCTTCGAAAAATATGCGCGCTTGTTTATGTTCGTCCGTCAAATGAGGATACAAGATATATTGCATTGTTTTTCTTTTATTTTTTTAAATAATAAATAATATAAGTATATATATGATAATTTACTATTATAATTAATAATTGTAATTTATTTATATATATATTAATTATAATGCATAAATATATAATTAGACTAATGTCATGTATACTATAGACTCTCAACGAGTATGACTTTTCCACTGGAACATCGATGGATCGACGGGTTGCCCATCGCTTCGGACGAGTAGGCAAAAAAACAGTGGAACGAACCAATCGGTGGGCAAATTCCACTCAAAATGAGTAGATTTCATGAATCGATGGCCAGTGTAACCACACCTTAAACACAATGGATTTCCGGACATGCCGAAGAAGCTGAAAAAGAACCAAAGGAAGAAAGCTTCTAAGAACGCTTCAAAGCCCTCCCCTAGGGACAATGATCTCTTCGATGAGGCAGACATGACCCTCCTGGTGACTGCTGTCATGACAGCAGTGGCAACAGCCTTGGGGAGGACAAGGGAAGAGGCGGAGACGGCAGTCACGGTCGCCATGACGGCAATGACCAAGACTGTCGCAATCCTGAAAGGCAGAAAGCTGGATAGAGCAAAACCAGCCACACCCACAGCCCAGGACGAGACTCCCCTCCCCGCTCCAACCCAGGCTAGCCCTTCACAGGCAGAGCCACAACAGGCTGAATCTGTACAGCCAGAGCAAGAGCACGCTGACCCTGCCCAGGCAAGGCCAGCCAAGAGAAACGCAGATAGGCCTGGGAGAAAAGCCAGAGTTATAAGAGTCAGAGCTACCAAAGGCTCTCCACCCCCCAGTGGACCCACGGATAGCCTGACTTCAGATGAAGACCCCTCAGCCAAAGAGGACTGCACGATGTTGTCAGAGTCGGATTGTGACAGCGTCTCAGATGTAACTATCGACTAGTAACATCATTGCACACAATCTAAGCATCCTAACATAAATGGCTTCTCCGGAAGGAATGCCATTCTTCAAGCAGTAGTGCGATCAAGGAGCATTGACGTTGTCATGCTCCAGGAGACACCTAATGGTGGATACTGTTTCGCTTCTCAGGGTATCACGTCTTCATGCTGCTACAATCAGATGGCAAAAGAGGCCTGATCACCCTTGTCAAAGCAACAATCCCTTGCTCCGCAATAGCCGATGCACCGCACAGTGGAGACGAGGCAGAATCTCTTGCCGTCGAGATTATCAACTGGGTCCCTAGCTATATTGGCATTAGAGGGAATGAGCTTGCTGACAGACTGGCCGTCCCTGGTAGGGGTATGCCCCCTGATCCCATGATCATTATGCCAAGCCGTAATTTACTTCGGGGGAAGTGTACTGGTGTCATCAACTCCTTCCTCCTGCAGTTTCACAGAGAGGCAACGAGATCCTCCCCCTCGGCCAGATGGTAATCAGAAGCAACAGGCTATAAACCACTGGCACTCTCTGAGATAAACAACAGAAGTACCGAAGTCATTCTTCACAGAATGCGCCTAGGCTACCACTGTCAATGGCAGATAATTGAGACCATTGTCTGTGAAGAGAGGTGTATATCATTATCATTATAATTTTCATTATTGCTAGCGTTGTTATTACTGTTAATATTGTTATTACTTTTCTATCATGATTATCAGTAACATTATCATGATTATTGTTACTATTATTATAATTAATTATAATGCATAAATATATAATTAGACTAATGTCATGTATACTATAGACTCTCAACGAGTATGACTTTTCCACTGGAACATCGATGGATCGACGGGTTGCCCATCGCTTCGGACGAGTAGGCAAAAAAACAGTGGAACGAACCAATCGGTGGGCAAATTCCACTCAAAATGAGTAGATTTCATGAATCGATGGCCAGTGTAACCACACCTAAACACAATGGATTTCCGGACATGCCGAAGAAGCTGAAAAAGAACCAAAGGAAGAAAGCTTCTAAGAACGCTTCAAAGCCCTCCCCTAGGGACAATGATCTCTTCGATGAGGCAGACATGACCCTCCTGGTGACTGCTGTCATGACAGCAGTGGCAACAGCCTTGGGGAGGACAAGGGAAGAGGCGGAGACGGCAGTCACGGTCGCCATGACGGCAATGACCAAGACTGTCGCAATCCTGAAAGGCAGAAAGCTGGATAGAGCAAAACCAGCCACACCCACAGCCCAGGACGAGACTCCCCTCCCCGCTCCAACCCAGGCTAGCCCTTCACAGGCAGAGCCACAACAGGCTGAATCTGTACAGCCAGAGCAAGAGCACGCTGACCCTGCCCAGGCAAGGCCAGCCAAGAGAAACGCAGATAGGCCTGGGAGAAAAGCCAGAGTTATAAGAGTCAGAGCTACCAAAGGCTCTCCACCCCCCAGTGGACCCACGGATAGCCTGACTTCAGATGAAGACCCCTCAGCCAAAGAGGACTGCACGATGTTGTCAGAGTCGGATTGTGACAGCGTCTCAGATGTAACTATCGACTAGTAACATCATTGCACACAATCTAAGCATCCTAACATAAATGGCTTCTCCGGAAGGAATGCCATTCTTCAAGCAGTAGTGCGATCAAGGAGCATTGACGTTGTCATGCTCCAGGAGACACCAATGGTGGATACTGTTTGCTTCTCAGGGTATCACGTCTTCATGCTGCTACAATCAGATGGCAAAAGAGGCCTGATCACCCTTGTCAAAGCAACAATCCCTTGCTCCGCAATAGCCGATGCACCGCACAGTGGAGACGAGGCAGAATCTCTTGCCGTCGAGATTATCAACTGGGTCCCTAGCTATATTGGCATTAGAGGGAA